CACAGACACAGACACATGTTGAGACATGGTAAAGCATTTGCCTACCAAGCATGTTACACAAATGGTCCCAAGTTCAATCCCCTCTTCTGAGAAAAAAACTGAAACACAACCTCAAACATAAATTCAAAGCAGGCTATCATACACCAACTCAATTATTCTCTCTCTGTGGCAAAGAAATTGAGCTCAAGGGTTAGGCATGTTACAAAAGCACACTACCACTGAGTGGTAGTCCTTCAACCACTATGGCATACAAAACCCTAAACTAAGTTCTGTCATTTTACTCTGTCTCAAAAGTCTAACAACCAAGAAGAGAGAACTGGAATTCTGATTAGAGAACCACACAGAACCTGTCACAAAGCGTACAAAAGCCAGAAGATACACACCTTTTAAGGACAATTGGAACAGCAATGGAGGGGTTCTTCCTCAGACCGTCTATGATATCAGCTGCTTTATCAGCATATATCCTCTGGAGTGCTTTCCGATGGATGACTTCTGACGTGCCGCCAAGGGTATTATCCAGGCGAAATTTAGCTTGCTCTTCAGCAGACAAGCGGGAAAGTTTTTTCTGTATTGCTTCCAGAACCCGGATTGTTGCAAGATTGGTCTCTAAAACTACATCAAGCTTAAAACAAAACAAAACAAAAAAGAAGGTACTCAGGCCAGAAACCAGAATACAGTAGTTATGAGAATAAGGAGCGTGTCAAATTCCTCGGGATTGGAGTCCTGTATAGTTCCTATACAAGCCATGTAAGGCTCTCCATCAGTAACATATGAACAATGGCATATACTACTTTCATGAGGTTGTTTTCTGGAAGAAATGCCATATGCATAAGTCATAAAGCACACGAACTTCTCGGCAGCCACCACTGTCACACACTGCTTGGCACTGCCAAACACAGGCCAGGGGGACTAAGAAGGCTAGTATACTGATGCATTTCCTTATACTTTTGTTTGTACTTAGACACAGTTTTAATTAGGGATGACCTAGAACATAACATGCTCTGTAGACCAGACTGGTCTTCGACTGTGGTAAGTTCTTGCCTCTGGCACCTAACGCTGGGATTACAAATGTGAGCCGCAATATCTGGCCTATCAACTTTTCTCACTTGAGCAAACACATTACAAATAGTAAGAAAACAATCCAAAGACAGCTGTGGGACTAAAGGGTATAGGAGTCTTAACTTAAATGTCTAAAACATTTAAATATTAAATTACTGCTTCACACCCAATGGCAACAAATTCAGGATTATTATCCTTTCCTTTTGAAAAAGAGTATCATGTAGCCAGACTGGCGTCCAACGGGTCTATGCACCCAAGAAGGACCAAGAATTCTAAACTCCTTCAGCCTTCCCCTCGCCAGGGATTATAGGTACACTACATTACCCAACTCGAAAAATGTTCTTCACCTTGATTAGAAGCTGGGTATGGCGGCACTCACATTAATCCCAGCACTCAGGAGGCGGAGGCAGAGGCAGAGGCAGATGGATCTCTGAGATCAAGGCAGCCTGGTCTACATAGAGTTCCAGGATAGCCAAGGCTACACAGAGCCCTGTTGCAAAAACAGGAAAAACAAAAAAAACAAAACAAACAAACAACTACCCATAGAAATTAACACTTAATACAATTTAGTTTTCTGCAATAACTAATCAGGCCATTAATTCTAGAGGAGTGGTGGTTTGAATGAGGATGGCCCCAATAGGCTCATATATTTAAATTCTTAATCCCTAGCTCAGAAAACTGTCTGGGAAGGGAAAGAAGGTGTGGTTTCACTGGAGGAGGTCTATCACTAGGGAGTGGGCCTGTAGATTTCAAAAGACTAGTATGATTCTCAAGGCATTCTTCTCTGCCTCCTGGTTAAGGATCAAGATGTGAGCTCTCAGATAGTTCTTCTCTGTACCACATGAACTCCCACCATCTCAAACTTTAAACCAAGTCAATTCTTTTATAAGTTGTCTTGATAATGAGATTTATCACAATTATAGAACGGTAACAGAGATGGGGAAAAGATGGCAACCACCAGTCAGTGAGGAGACAGCATGTGATTCTTCTGAAGAGGAATGTTGTATGAGATCTCTCCCACTGATTTGAAGAAGCAGACCCAGTCAACACAGTGTAATGAACATACTAAGTCAAACACATATATGCAAAATACAATTGACTCCCTTTGGTGTGGTATTAGTAAACATCATCTGAATACTGGAGATGTTTGAGTCTAGTTTCAGAAATTCCCTTCCTGCAATAAGGGATATCTCTACCAGCTGATTCATTCATTCTAGATCTTCCCATCCCAGCCATCCCCTTTAAAATGTAACTCTTACAGGCACTAGGGCACTTTTTTTTTTAAGCTGCCTCACACAGAGTATTTAAATACCCCTTCATTTCACATCTTCCTTGTTCCCCAAACTTCAAATCACAAAGGAGGATACCTCAAATCGTTCATCTTCACAACGATAAATATGTTCTTCATACTGAGTCTTCTTGGAACTAACAAAAGTGGAATCTTCAGACCATGATGGGAAGGAAACCCAGGTATCATTTAAAACCTTTGGGTAGAAAAAGAGGCAGAAAAGCTTGTTAAAACTTACTGGTAATTAAACATTCTCAATAAAAAGACAATACTATAGAGAGGAAAAAATATTTGGTGTCCTGGTTAGTTTTTTTGTAGCTTGACACAAGCTAGAGTTAGTTGAAAGGAGGGAACCTCAATTGAGAAATTGCCTCCATAAGGTCAGACTATAAGATCGGAAAAATTTTTAAATTTTTCAATTTTTTTTAAAGATTTATTTATTTAATTACATGCCCTATCTGCACATACTCCTTTATGCCAGAAGAGGGCATCAGATCCCACTAGAGATAGTTGTGAGCCATCACATGGTTGCTGGGAATTGAACTAAGGACCTGTGGAAGAATAGCTAGGCCTCTTAACTGGGACTGGAGTGATGGGGAGGGGATTCCAAGTCATTGTGTATGGTTCCATGCTGGGTCCTGGGTTCCATAAGAAAGCAGGCTGAGCAAGCCAGTAAGCAGCACCCCTCTATGGCCTCTGCACCAGCTCCTGCCTCTAGGTTCCTGGCCTGCTTGAGTTCCTCTCCTGACTTCTTTCAGTGACGAACAATGATACAGAAGCATAAAATAGATGGTTTCCCAAGTTGCTTTGGTCATGCATGGTATTATATCAAGAACAATAGAAACCCAAACTAAAACAGTTCACAAAAGAATAGAGTAAGGGAAAGTTCTGAATACAAATTTTCTTTTGAAAAAAGGTTCATGATTTCACAATTCATATAAATCCTGGCCTTTCTTGTAAGACAGGGTTCACAGCAGATAAATAAGGGCACTTGCTATCAAACCTGACCACCTGAATTTGATCCTGGGAACCCAGATGGTAGGAGGAGAGAAGCAACTGACAAGTTGTCTCTGATCTCCACAAGCAGACCACATTTCATATACATATACACATATTAAAAATAAATGAAAACTTTAAAAAATTCTGGCCCTAGTACTATCTGTCAATACCCTGCTTTGAAGAAGCTGAAGATCCAAGGCTGACCCTTACCTCTTTACACAGAGGAGTCCGTCCTGTACACTTGGGCTGCTGGTAACTTTTTGGCAGGGCTCGGTAGCTAGAGCCCAGTCGTTTACAAGAGGCGTAGTCTATCTCCATTGCAATGCCTTCTGTAGCTCGTTCCTTTGGAAAGCTTTCTAGATGTACAGACTCCTTATATCCCAGAAAGTTTTTAAACCAGTTAAACAATTCAGGGAATTTCCTGAAGAACCAAACCAAAAGCTGGTAAGCAATTCAAGGCAGGATGCAGTTATTATGAGGAACAACATTACAGTTCATGGTGGGTCACAACTCTACTGCCAGAGTTAATAATTATTTTCTACCTGAGAAGCATCCTTTAACCAGTTAAGTTCCATTTTCCTTATGTAGTATTTTCCAACAAGACAGTAAGAAGCTAAGAAGCCATTGTTTAGAATATTGCCTCACTTTTCATATAATCCCCGGGATGGCAAATATAATCAAAATTCTAGAGCCCTGGGAGATCAGTGCCTATAAACATGTAGTGCTGGTCAGACAATCAAGAGACCATGAGTGCCGCATCACAGCTGATACACTGTTAACACTTTTTTTTTTTTTTGAGGTGGGAGGTGTGGGGGGTGGTCCTCTCTGTAAGCCAGGTCATTCTGAATTCACCTGCCTCTGCCTCTATGGTGCTGGAATTAAAGGCATGTGCCACCAAGCCGAGCTCTACCTGTTTTCCCAACCTGAAAGTTATACTAGAAGACTTATAAGGCACCTTCTGACACTGTCATTTCTGACAACTACTCAATTACCTTTGTTTTACAATCTCTGCATTATCGTATCAGAAGTACTAGAAGCTGTGCTCCTCACTTCACTTACCCCAGAAAAGGAGAGACTAATTGTACAAGCTCAGCCCGAGAGATCACCTCCTGGTTAAATATAACAAGACAGCGCAGAAAGTTATCATACGCCTCTGCACTCCGAAGAGCCTTTCGGACCTTATGGAAACAATCAGAAGAAAAACGGTTACAAGGAGAGTCAGGGTCATCAATTTCTTTTTTTAATAGAGTAAATTTAATCTGATATTTACTAAGGAATTGCTGTTATTTTATTTAGACATGATCAAAGAAACCACCTTAAAAAGCAAAAAATGAGACAATGTAATCTGTCTCTAAACAATCTAAAATGAGTATGAATACATATGGAACAAACACATAGAACAGGCAACGGAACTACTGACACTTGATAAGAGCACAAAGGGTCGTTTTATTATCTCTTTAGTTTTACATGTGTTCAGAATTTTTTATAATTAAAATGTGAGACCATGCACTACACCTTCTCATATGCTTGCTACTTCAGACCAAGTCAATTACCTAAGTTTCTGTAGTCCATCTTAAGAGATACTGAAAGGAATTTTTCAATACTGTTTTAATAGTCTTGTTAATAAAACTTTTTGTATGTTGTTTTGTTTTAGGCATGATGTCATGTAGCAGAGACAAACCCTAAACGTGCTATATATAACCAAGGACAGCCTTTAAAATCTGGATCTTCTTCCTCCTAAATGCTTAGAATGTCAGCATTCTTAAGACAGAGGCAGCAGGCACCACACCAAGTTCAAGACCAATCTGCTCCTGAGACCAGCCTGAGATTCAACAAGGTCTTGCCTCAAAACACAAAAACAGGCTGATGGGTGTGGGGGGAGGGCAGAAAGATGGCTTAGTGGTTAAAAGTGCATCCCATTCTTGTAGAGGACCCAGGACTAGGTGGCAACAAACATGAGGTAATTCATAACCACATACTCATGGCATATGGGTGTTCATAAAGGCACACATATACACATCTAATAATTAAATCTTAAAAATGACAACAAAAACAGCCTGAGGATATGGCTCAAATGGCAAAGGGATTCTTTCTCAAGCAGAGGACCAGAGTTTGGACTCCCAGCACCGACATAAAATACTAGGCACAGGAATATAAAACTGTAATCCCAGCTCTCGAGAAGCAGAGACAGGAAGACCCCTGAAGCTTACAGACAAGTCAGTGTACCAATTTGTGAGCTCTAGGTTCAATGAGTCCTTCTCTCAAAAAAACAAGGTAGAGAAGCAACTGAAGATAATACCCAACACTAACCTCTGACCTCCACACATATATATGCTCAAGCCCCCCCCCCCCCCCCCCCCCCCCCCCCCCCCCCGGTCCCCCCCCCCCCCCCCCCCAAACCCCCCCGGGGGGGGGGGGGGTGTGACAACACGGGACATTGAGAGATAGCTCAATGAATAAAACACTTGTCATGCAAGTCTAAGGAAAACGTTGGGACAAGTCAGACGTAGTGTAACATTTGTAATTCCAGCACACCTACTGGGATTGAGTTGGGAGGCAGAGATAGCAAATTCCCTCTACAAGCTCCAGGGCCAGATACCTTAAACTGTCAGTGGTGCTCAACAAAAGACCCTGCCTCAGGTAAGGTAAAATATTAGGACAGATATCTGTTTTGATGTGCACGTTCTAACATTCTCTCTCACACAACTTCCCACACACACACTTACAGCACTGAAAACTAATTTTTTGGGTTTTTTTGTTTTTTTTTCCAAATAGGATTTCACTATGTAGCTTCGGAGTCTGTCCTGGAACTCGCTTTGTAGACCAGGCTGGCCTCGAACTCACAGAGATCCACCTCCAAATGATGAGGAACTGAAAGCCAGCCTGGAATACAAGGTGAGTTCAAGGCTAACCTAAGTTACACATAGAAAGATTCTGTCTTCAAACAAAACAAACCCGAAGATTAAATAAAAACAATGCTAAAAACTCCTAATCAGTTGCCACTTCCTAAACAAAACCTTGGGGATTAGATGACTTTTATTGGTTTTTCGAGACAGGGTTTCTCTGTGTAGCTTTGGAGCCTATCCTGGCACTCGCTCTGGCCTCAAACTCACAGAGATCCGCCTGCCTCTGCCTCCCAAGTGCTGGGATTAAAGGCATGTGCCACCAACGCCCCGGGCTAGATAACTACTCTTAACAACTAATATCAAATGTTACTCATTGCTTACCTTATCAAAAAATAATGACTCAGTTCCAACACCATGCTTGCTGGCATCTGCCATTGAAGATTCCTTTAGACTAAGCAGTTTGGGTTTTTTCTGGAAATAAAAATAAGAAATAAAACAAAAACATACAATGCTGAGTGAATTTTCTTTAATTTTGCTAAAATGGTTCTACTACTACTAACTAATCAGAACAAATGAGATTGCAGTCACAAATTTCTATCATAACCTTTAACTCTGGAGTTTAAAAAATAAATCTTTAACCTATACTATTTCAACTTAAAAATCCATAGGGAAAAAAATTAGTTCATTGTCTAGTAGACAGCATAACCATCTTATCAGCATATCCACTCAAACTAATACTGCTAATGTTTTTTTTTTTTTTTTTTTTGAGAGTGTCACTGTGTAGCCCTAGATGTCCTCAAACTCAAAGATCTGCTTTGCTGCCCTGCCCATCACATCACAGTGTTGCTAGGACAGGTGTCACTGTAACCCCTAGCCATATTAATAATTTAACTTGAAAGCCACATGGCAGTGGCACATGCCTTTAAATCCCAATACTTGGAGGCAGAGGCAGGTAAATCTCTGTGAGTTCAAAGCCAGCCTGGTCTACAAAGTGAGTTTCAGGACAGCCAAGGCTACATAGAGAAACTATGTCTCAAAGAAAAAAAAAAACAAAAAAAAAAAATTTGTCTAAAAAAAAAAAAAAAAAAAAAAAAAAAAAAACAACAAAAAAAAAGTTTTAAAAGTGGGAGGGAGAGCCTGGCACAGTCTATATCCCTTCACTCATTAGTCTGAGGCAGGAGGGTTGCCATGAGCTGACAATTAGCCTGGACTACTTCTGAGTACCAGGTACAATGAAGGCCAAACAGAAATGAAAAGGCCATAATATAACCCCACTAGGAAAATTTTACTTTTAAAAACCCACCTCTTACTACCTGTGAAGAAATAACCAACTCTGCCAGCAGCTTCTGTCTCTATGGGACGTGGAAACTAAGCACTAGCATACTGTTTCTACCTGTGGATTATCAGGTGTAGAAGGAAACAGACCCAAGAGAGAGTTCTTAGCTATTGAGCTAATTCTTGCAATCCACAGAATACTTTTTGAAGTTAAAAAACCAAACAATAAAACCACTACTATATTCAACCCGATTCCAAAACTGAGAAAACACTGCAAGTACCAAAACAACCTTTCAGAGAGTGTCAGTCCTTGGAGCCACTTGACACCCACCACCTTCCACTGTCTTTTTTGCTTTAACCAAATTCTATAGACACCTCTACTCCATATTACATGGTTTAGAATTCCCAGAGAAATTCAACACTGAATACATTCTGCTTCCTTCTTATATCAGACACACTAAATCAAGGAGACAAACTGGGCTTTCTATTGACAGGTCACTAGTGTTCACTGTAGTAGTCACTAACAGGAGCAAAAGACTGCCCTCTAGTACAGCCCTTGAAGACTAAGATAATACAAAGCTTCTGCACTAGGCTCACAAGAGTCGAATTTCCTCAGAGATCATTCATTTATTATCATTTATCAGTTTAAGAATCATCCTGTAATACAAGGCAATTTTAACACATCAAATCATGATAGAAATTAGTAAGTCTTGACAACAAAGTAAAAGAGTGAGAAGCTCACAGCAAAGGAGAGAGAATATAGGAAAAAAATACAGAAGCTGGAAACACACACACACACACACACACACACACACACACACACACACACACACTGACCCACATGGTGAGTGTGCTTCATACCTGCCATTTGCAAAGCTACTAAGAAGCTTTGGAGGGAATTTCTGTGGCCTATACTAACGTGCTCTGGAAATACAGGCTGTAACCATCTTATCACCTATCTGTCTACTCTCACCTTCACTGGAGGCGTGGTACCCGCTCCAGAGTGTCTGCGGATCTGGCAGCCATTCTGGCTGGGCCTTTGTGGCTTGTTGTTCAGTTGGGGCTTCTTCACAGTGCCCCCATGGTCATTTCTCACAGAATCAACCTTCTCAGCAGTTGTTTTGCTTAAAAGCTGATTAAGACACAAGAGAGATTAGTACTTGGATCAAAAGTGTTACCTAAAAAGTCCCCTGTGACTACAGCTTTCAAACTTATAGTGACAATCTTAAATAATGTAGTTTGTCTAAATGAGACTTACCACCGAGCTGTTGGCATCCGGCAAGAACTGTCCAAACTCAGATAACAGATCCTCCTGGTTTTTGAAGAGACGTGCCACCTGGGCATATACCTCTTGCTCAGTCAAGGCTGGAGTATAGTTTCCTCCAGCTTCCTTGGCATTCCTCTGTTCTTTCTGAAGAGCAACAGAAGGGGACAAACGATACACACTAAGGGAGCTACTAGTCTGAATCCTACACCACACACACAATATTTTCTGAAATGTTTGATAGAGCTAAAATACTTTAAAGTATTATATTAATTTAATTACTGTTTTAATTGTAGTCTTTTGAGAAAGAAGATGCTGAATGATAGATAGGTCTTTATAAAACTAAGAACAAGTGAATGCTCCATTAATTAAACTGATAAAACACAAGACATTAAAAAACATCATCCCCCGGGCATTGGTGGCGCATGCTTTTAATCCCAGCAGAGGCAGAGCAGGCGGATCTCTGTGAGTTCAAGACCAGCCTGGTCTATAAGAGCTAGTTCCAGGACAGCCTCCAAAGCCACAGAGAAACCCTGTGTCGAAAAACCAAAAAAAAAAAAAAAAAAAAAAAATCATCCATGTTCTCTTGTAAATCAATCAAGATCCAAAAATTCCCCTCACAAACTTCCACTATGAAACAAACACCCTCTTAACAAGCTAGTGACCTTAAAAAATCCTGACAAGGCCGGGCGTTGGTGGTGCACACCTTTTATCCCAGCATTCGGTAGGCAGAGGCAGGAGGATCTCTGTGAGTTACAGGCCAGCCTGGTCTCCAGAGTGAGTTGGAGGATAGGCTCCAAAGCTACAGAGAAACCCTGTCTCGAAAAACAAAACAAACAAACAAACAAACAAAAAAAAAAAATCCTTACAAGATGCTACAGGGCAAGCAAAGCAGGCAAGTAAAACTGGCTTCATAAACATACATTATAGTTTTAACCAGTTAATATTTCCAATAAGAACTACTGGGCACAATGGATATTCTAAGCTCTTCTCAGACTAGATAACTCTCTGAGGTCGACAGTTAAGTAATAAGAACCTAATTTGACCATGAAGAAAACATCCATTTCTGAGCTGGGAACAATAAGCATCCCATCTACTCAGGAGGCTGAGGCAAGAGGATCACCAGATCCCAGGATTATAAGACCTGCTTAAAAGGGAAAAATGAGTAACCCTCTTACCTGGTATGTGTGCAAAATCTCCAAGAATGCTTTGTAGATGTCTGGTTGGCCCTGGAATCTATTCTTGATCTTATTAACATAGTTGATGGCATGATTAAACTCCACAGGTTGATTGTTCTGCAAAGATGGGGCCGTTCCCAAGGAGATTGTCACTGGTGTGTGAGGCTGCACCGGTGGAGAACGTGGGGATGCATATGGTGGGAGTGGGGGTGTCTGCTGACTGGCTGGAGTATGTGCTTGTAGTTGGGAAGGCTAAAAAGAAAAAAGTCTTTATTTTCCTCAAGAGTATAGGTGGTTTGATACTGGGGGAGAAAATTCAAACCAAAAAGAAAAAAGAAAAAAGAAACAAAACAAAACAAAAAACCAAGATATCTGATCAACCCATATCCTGTATTTACTCATTTAAGGCATTATGTACTAATTTATCAAGCCAAGCCATTTTGGTTCAATTTAAATCATATACAACAGGGTAGGAGAAAGTTTCTACATTCTGACACTACCTAGCATCAATTTCCTAAATACAACCTCAAATAAGGAGCCATTTCTATTACAATGATAAATTTTTCGTATGAAATTTTTTAGCTCACCAGTTTAATAGGTGCAAATTAAAGAAAAACTCATCCTACACAGATTTTTAATGTCAAGATTAACAACTCAATTATTCCCATAATCCAAAATGAAATGTTTCTAGACCAGCTCTGTTCAATGGAACCCTCTGAAAGATAGAATCTTTCTTTGTAACATTAGACACAAGAGCCACCAGCTACATAG